TTTTCTGCCTTTGAGATTTTACTAGTTGATACCGTTCCCCAAATTTAGAAATTCTGAAGAATCTCGGGATCTAGGTCAGAGTCTATGGCTCTAAATTTCCATGCTTGTTGGAGTTAAATCATCTTGTTCTATGTAATCTGACATTTTTATATCCAATGTTAAATCTTTTTTTTTTTGGTTCAGTACAATATCTTTGTCTCCTTGCCCAGTACAATATTTATTTTTCTTCCATACCATCATCTATTTTGTCAATAAATTTATCAACAGTGGCAGTCATTTGATCCCATTTCTCCATGCATTCATTGCTTTGTTTGCTTCTTGCACCCTCTAGTGATCAATTTTCAAATTTGCATCTTGTTTATATGTCAATAGAAAAACATAACTTCTTTCCCATGGGAAAAATTCTTATATTGACTTAATCCATTTATAATAAATCCATCTGGTCCATTCATCCATACATAACTTTTCAAAAGCAATGCTCAATTCCCCTTTTGCTGTTAATTTTTTATAAAACTTAAAATCATATTTAAAATTTTGTTCGCAAAAGGTTGAAGGAAAAATCTCACACGCTAAAAATCTAAAAGGTTCTTAGTATTTTAAAAAGTAGTTTTAAAAAGTTTAAAGTAATTAATAAATGAGAATTGGTAGAACTTTGACTCCAAAACAGCTGCAAGCGCAAATAGAATCCCTCAACTTTCAACTACTCCACTAGCCAAACATAAAATATCTTTTTCTATGGTTTACTCATGAGAAGTAGCTGTGTGAAGGATATATGAATGATCTGGAGATCTTTCTTTATTCCAGAAATATTTTCCATTGGTCCAGATCCTGCATCCAGATCTACATAGATCTCTCAAAATATTATGAAAGCGTGGTCAATGCCTGGAATGCACTACCTGACTCTATTGTTACATCCCCAAACCCCATAATTTTAACCTGACTGTCTACTGTTGACCTCACCCCATTACTAAGAGGTCTATAAGGGGCATGCATAAGCGCACGGCCTGCCTAGCATCCCTGTCCTACTGTCTCCATTTATTTTTACCCATTTATTGTGTTTATATTTATGTTTATACTTATACCTGTTATTTTTTTACATGTTTGACAAACTACATAAATAAATAATTAAAGAAAAATAAAAGGACAAAATATTTGGTAGTGCTAAGTAGTATTCTTAGTAGCCATTTCTACTGACCCAGAAATAAGTGTTCTTGGCTTTCAGTCTTTTTTTGTTTTTGCAGTAATTTTATTGAAGTTTTCAATTAAAAGATAAAAGCTAATACACACTACAACTAAAAGAATAAAAAGAAAAAAGTATAAAATATGGAAAAAATAAAAATATAATTAAGAAAAAATATTTAATAAATGACTTCCCTCTTCATCGCAACAAATATAAACTTTAATAATATATTTACCTTCTCTTAAAATTCAACAAAAGATCTTTTCTCCATATTTCATCTCTTATTTATAAGCAAATCTTTAAAGCTTCATCATACAGTCCTGGTCACCAAAAGTCCACTAAGGGTTATCAGAGATAACAAATCTGTTTTAATCTTGATAAAATAAACCAACTTTATCTTCCTTTTATCCCGTAAACAATCTGAATTTTTAATCCCTTCAAATAGCTTTTTAAAGTTTAAACTTATATTTAAAACTTATTTCATTAAGAATTGAAGGAAACTCATCAGGTGCTATTAAAAAATTGCCATCCTGAAAGATCTTAATATCTGAAAAGCAATTAATAAATAATTTCCAAAAGTGATTAGAAAAGGAAGCATGCAACTCTGTGTCCATAAAGGCTGTGACTTCAGTTTGGGCAGTAATTGCATTTCCTCATCTTCCAGAGCCAAAGACTGGCATCTTACAATCTCCATGTGAGGAAAAAATGTATGGAGCAGTTTGGGTGATCCTGAGTCCTTTTCTTGTCCAGAGACATATTTTGAAGAGCCAGTTTACTTGCTGGGTTTCATTCCACCATAGTTGTCACCTCTACTTTTAATAGAGCCATTCTCAGTTTGCCATTTCTTCCCCATATTTACATCTGGGCAATAAATATGTTATTTTTCATTTAAAGATTTTGATTAGGGAGAATTATGAATGGTAAAATAAATTGTAGACTTTGTGGATACAAGATTTAAAAAAATATATAAGACCACCATATAATAACAAAGAGGTGCAGGATGCAAAATCTTGCTGCACAGATCTGGTATTTGTGAAAAACATAAATGTGTTCTCTGCTTCTCCAGATGATTTTTTTCCCTGCAGGTCATGTATTATGTTCTCTGTGGAGTTGCCTTTTTCACCTGCTAATTGCTCTGAGATCAGATTAAGCTACTGTTACAAGGAACAAAGTTCTTGAAACAAAGTGGCCAATTATTATGAAACTGGATATAGTTGCATTATTCAAAGTCTTTGAATAGTGCCAAATCTTCACCTATCTCTGAACTATAGTTTAATAGTTACTAAATAGTTGTGAGTTACATATACATATGCCCTTTTTCCACTCTCCATAGCATGGTTTCAGATCATCAACATCTATTTTTAAAATAGGAGTCTTCCTAGTTTAGGAATATAAAGTAGTATATTCCAAATGGGATGCAGAGGTTATTTTGCTTAGATGAACAATGATTGTTCAAGCTACTGTTCAGTTTTCCTCAGTTTGGACATAATAATGGAATTGCAGTAGTTAGGAAATTGCATCTTGTTCTAAGTTTTTATTTCCCATAACACTGAGAATATGTTCATGGAAACCACAAGGTATGTTTTGTGTTATGAAATGTCCCAAGACAACCAAAATAGGCACCATATGAAGAAATAGTCACAGCAGTACCCAAACTCTCTTTCAGAGGTTTGGATACTACGAGGAATACCCTAAACTAATAATCGTTATTAAATAGGTATCTCATTGTCAAATCACTTGAAAATGTCCTTCTCAAAAGGATTAGAACCACTGGATAGCATACTTTCTAGGGCCATTTTAGATACATTGTCAAGATGTATGTAAGGGTTAATAGTATTAATAGTTGTAGAGTTTCTAAAAAACCAACAGAGTAACATTAACACCAGGGCATATAATGAGTCTGTTCCATTACCATATATAAAGTTAGATTAAAATGGGCAATCTATTGCACTCAGAAATATCTGGAGCCAAGATACTACTCCATAACAGAGCCTTGGAGGCTGTTTATTTAAAAATTTTATAGGCTGCCAAAATCCTGAACAGTTTATAGTTAGAAGTTTTTTTTATAATGTACAAATTTTTTTTAAAAAAGTACACCTAGAAAAAGTGTCATACAATCAAGCTGCATGCTAAAGTGATGTTCACCACTTTCATTAATAGTTTTATTGTTCTCCCTGTCTTTATAAGAAAAGAAAGGCAAGGGTCAAGTTCATATAAAGGTGGCCATAATTCTTCCAAAAAAAACCTGATTACATTTATGGATCATGTAAACTGGCTGAGGAATTCTGAAAGTTGAAGTCCACAAGTCTTAAAGTTTCCAAAGTTGGAGATCCCCAGTGTAGAGACTCCAGGCAGAGAAACCTGAAAGAGAGTGAGGCTTTTTTCCAATCTGGTCTGTGATAAAATAGTTTGGCCAACTGTTTTCCTATTCATTGACTGGATGTTCAGCCACAGAAGTTTCAACCCATTGACTATTGTCAAACTCTTTCAGTTTTTTTGAATTAGGAAACAGTTTGTAAGCATTCAACTTAATCCTGTTACACATTTTATAAATCCATAATTAGGTTATTTGGCAGATAGTAAAATTCACTGAGACATAGGATCTAGTTTCATCTCTGTCTTTAGTTTGAACTCAAATGCAGTAATTAAAATAATTGCAGTTATAGTTATTGTCCTCAGTTGCTCATATACTTTGTCCAGTTAATATTAACAGAAATTATTTCCCATGTTAGTACAGCTCTTACATCAGCTATACATTTATGGTCTTACAAATCATAAATTCACTTTGCAAATATGAAATTATTAGCTACTGGTGTAATAAAATTTATTTGGTTTCATTGATTTAAAAAGTATCTATTTCTGGTGGAAGATTTTCCACTTTGAATAACTTAATATTTCCATGATAAAGAACAATGATCCTGAAAACGTGCTGCATTGTTTAGTAATATAGTAAGATGATCTTAATAAAAAGAATTATTTGCCAAAGAAATATATTTATAATCCTAGTTTTAAAAATGGTATGCCATCATATTCTTTATGACACAATATAAAATACTTCTGGCAAAAATATGCTGAGGTACTAAGATCTCTGCCAATCTCCATACAAATAAAATGTTTTGATCTTTTTTAGATTTTTAAGTATTTTAGCTAAAAATTAACAGCTCCTCCATTTGTTGGCCAGTACATTATACTGAGATACTGGTTGATGTCATATATAGTATAAATCTGTGTATGAAGAATTCATATTCATTTCTTTGCATATTATTGATTTTTTTTCTTCACAACAAACGTGATCTATCATTGATAATATTACTATGCACTCCTGAAATTTGAACTGGCTTGTAGAAGAATTTCACCAGTTTACAAAATTGTCAAGTTCTTCATCATTTATAAATGAGATAGAGGAAAATGAATTATTATACAAATATAAGGGAGAGGAAAGCTTGAACTCTTATCACGCTCTGCTAATAAATAATAACTATGATTATGGAAAACCTGGATACTATATTATTATTGATTTTTATGATCACTTTAAGGAATTGGGCAGAATAAGAATCAAAATTATTGTGTATCTTCTTCTGGTGCTTAATCTTATCTTTATAATATAGAATCATAATTTTTGCTTGGCTGGAGGAACTGGTTACAGTGTACTGGTATAATAATAGGATATTTTAATTCAGTTACATTAATGTGTTAGTGTACTCAGACAAAGAAGAGCTTTTCACTAAATCCAGCTCCATGTTGAAATGTGCCATCTTTTCTCACCAGTATTTGTTTGCCTTGAACTACATTTTAAAATCATAGCTTTGTTTCTTTACAGTACATCAACTGTGGTAACCTGGAACAGTTGTTAGATAGTAATCAGCACTTGTCTTGGACAGTGCGAGTAAAGCTGGCATTGGATATTGCTCTCGGACTCAGTTATCTTCATTATAAAGGAATTTTCCACAGAGATTTGACTTCTAAGGTAATATTCTTCTATCTGATTGTATTTTTGGCAGCAAATTTCTTGAAATTGTTTTGTTCTCTTTATCCCTTTTCAAAGCTGTGTTGTCTTACTATCAGAAGAAAGCAAACTGCAATTGTGAATTAAGAATTATATTTCCAGGAAAATAGATGTAAAATTAACTCATTTGGTGCGATGTTCTTATAGCTCCCTCACTTCTATAATGTTCTAAGGCTAATCTATTGGTATAAAACATAATACCTTATTAAAAATGAATAGTGATGTTGCTTTCAAACTGTGCTTCAAATATGCATATTTAAAATGTATCTTTTTTTTAAAATGAAGCTAGTCATCTGCAAATATGCCAGAACTATAAATGAGAATTTGGAATATCTACCATATATACTACTAAAATTCTCCTCATGACCTGGGTGAATTGGTGCATTATAGGACAACAATTTGAACCAAGGTACCTCAGTTGAGCTAACTTACAGAATGTGCCTAAATTCCAGGATCCGTAACTCCAGAGGAAATGAAAGTAGGGAATGTTGTGGTTGTTTCAGTACTGCTGGCTGCTGCTGAGCTGTTGCTATGATTGATTACCTGATTTTCATTTTCAAAGTTCCATTCCATTCTGTAACAGTTTCGCTGCTAGTCTTGCAATCTCTTGTTCCCTCCCTTCCCAGCAGCAAGGAATTGACTTTTCATGTAGATTTTAAGGAAGCAACAACTTTAGTTGCATGAAGAAAGGCCTGAATATTTTTTATTGCTTTATGTTCCTCTTCTCTCACATACAATATTCCCATATTCTTGTCCTATACAATTAGTGCTGGAATTTCTTTACCATCTTTTTTTGCTGGTAGGTACATTGTAGAACACAGCCTTGTCATAATCAATAATAAAATTGCATGAGTGTACTTGTGCATATTAAAATAACTTTCCTATGGTATATAGCAAAAGAACACAAAATATCTCCTATAACTAACCAAGAAGGTAAGAAATCATGTACTGTTTATGATAAATATATTTTTCACAAATTCTAAATATAGTTCTTTATTGAACCTTGATAAAATAGTATTTTGAAGAATTCCTTTGTAATATTTACAAATCAAATATTACTTATATGTCTTATGTGCTAATGGAGTGAAACAGATGATTATCATTGAATCATTGAAGCTATCTACAAAAAGGTAGTTTCAAGTGTGGATTTTTGCCATATTTTTAACATTGCAGTATGATTAATGTTATTCCCATAGGATTTATGTACATTTTGCAGTGAACAAATATTCAACCTCAAGTAAACTAAATGAATACATTTTTTATTAGGAATAACAATAGTCATAGTTGAGAAGATTAAATATGCATTGGATAAGTGCAGTTCAGGGGGCTTTATGTACCGTTAAAAATCCAAAGTGAGCTATGTATTCTAAAATTCATTTAAGTGAGAATAATATTTAGGATAAATATTAAATAAAATCAACTACTTTTCTTTAATTATATTAAATCAAATTTAATTAAATAAAATCAACTGCTGTATCTTTGTGCATGGAAAAACATGCTGAAATTTTGATAGTATAATGCCAGTTTGATCTTGTGGTTAAGGCATCAGGCTTGAAAACAGGAGACTATGAGGTCCAGTCCCAGCTTAGGCATGAAGGCCAGTTGGGTGACTGTGGGCCAGTCACTCTCTTTCTCTGTCCAATTCTCCTTACAGGGTGATTTTTTGGGAGAAAATAGAATGAGGAAGGAATATTAGATATCTTCACTGCCATTAGTTACTTGTAAAAATAATAAAGACGGGATACAAATAAATAAAATGTATTTTCCCAACTTCTTTAATTATTCTTTAAATTATTTATGATCAATATTGTTAATATTACAAAATGCCTTTTCAACATATTCTGATATTCTTGTTTACTTTTAACATGCTCAATATTCAGTACAGTTGGAGCAGAAATTATTTAATGTGGGGTGGAGAACAGTACCATACTATGTAGATACCATATGTCCTCGGCCTATGTAGATATTTTAAGATCTGATTATAAGCAGTTGGTGAAATATCTGTCACGGGAAGGTGGCCTTCGAAGGGTCAAATAGTAGGCATGTTTTTACTGCTATCTCAAAGCCAATTATTTTCAACCCTTTATTTACCATTGTTTACAAAGCACTAGCTACTCCCATTCACCATTTTTATTTTTTAAGAATACCCATGGGGCCTATGTGAAATTGTTCATCAAAAGATGAGGATGGCACTTAGCTTTGCAGCATGCCATTTTTAAAATTCTGTTAATTATTCAATATACTTTTAAACATTTAAAAGGCAGAATGGACTAAGAGGTTGACAGATACTGACATGTTCATAGGTGGTGAAATCAAAATCAAATTCTTTATTGCAGCGATATTATAGCTTTACTATACCTACTTAATATTCATTATTGTTTCTTTGCTTTTATTCAGAACTGTTTAATAAAAAATGATGAGAATGGATATTCTGCTATAGTAGGTGATTTTGGCTTGGCAGAAAAAATTCCTGATTATAGGTAAGCATTATTTCTGAGTAAACACCAATTAAGAGTTTAATAATATAATGTTAAGCTAAATAATTGTGAATCACTGATCATTGCCTTCTAAGATTCAACATTTGACTTGAAACTGTTTTGGATTACTTACTGAATTGCTTACTTTTTAGCTTTTGAATATAATCGTTCTCTATCTGTATGAACAATAGATTTGTGATAACTCACTGATGCAGATAATAAATGTATTTAAGAGCAATTTTGCACTTTAAAAGTTTTAAAAGAACCTTTAAGATTTAAGAACCTTTAGATTTGATTGCCATGTATAAATGATTTGCACACACAGGTATAACTTTGCTTAAACTTTTCACTGTGACACATAAACATTTTCTTCTTTCAGTAGGTTTTGTAATATACTTCCTAGTAGAATACCTTTCAGGATTTTGAAATATGTGAAATAATAACAATATTGTCTTAGATACTTTGCTTGGAATGGAATGTTAGTCATTCATGTACTGAAACTAAAAAGGTTGTATAATATTTATGAGAAAGGACTTCTAACAATTACCTTTCTAAATTTGTTGAAGTGAGAAGTTGCCAGTGGTAGGTTCTCCTTACTGGATGGCGCCTGAAGTGCTGCGAGATGAGCCATATAATGAAAAGGTAGGTATGTTTGAAATAAATACTGTTAACATAAAGTGTTGCCTTGGAATATTTAAGCAAAGAGAATTTGTACTTGTACCTAGCATTTTTCTTTTATGTAAGCTATATTTTCTATTTTTAAGTCTTTCTAGTTAGATAACCTCATGAACATTCTGTTGTCTGTGATAAACATAATATCCTATGGGGCAATTGTTTGCTTTCTATATTGAGAATCTAAAATTTTATATTTTATTTTTTAGCTAACATTGAGAACAGTATTATAAGTCCTTATCCATCTTTTGTGAAATAGTAGTTTTTAAAGCTGTAAATCAAAACAACATTACTTATCAAGGGACAGTGCCATATTTTACCTTAATTTATAATTTTGTTAACAACAATATTCTGTCTTCCAATAAGCTGTAGCTTTTAAAAAAAATCAGTAAAAACTGATAAATATTTTTCAAGTTTTATAGCTCCTTCTAATGATAAAGAAACAGTATTGCAGTCTTTTTCTTAGCTGGTTGAATTTTGGGTGCCCTCAGAACTTTGCAAGTAGTGCAGGGGGTAATTTAAGCTTTTGTATTCTGCATCCATGTGATAGGAACAAAGAAAAACTTTTATACCTTGGGGGGAGGAACCTGCGATGGAAGGGAAAGAGTATACCTGCAAAATAAATCTGGGATCATATTCTCTCTTAGGCAGACGTGTTCTCATATGGGATCATCCTTTGTGAGATTATTGCAAGGATCCAGGCAGACCCAGACTATCTTCCACGAACAGAGGTGAGCAAAGTTCACTGATAAGGACTGTCAAGGAAAAAAATGAGTTTCATGGGTCAATAATTTCCATAGAGTTGCCAAATGGGCTATAAAAGTTGCAATAAAACATTAATCCTTTGTTACATTTATATGCCAAGCTTGGCACAGAATGCTGTTCTCTCCCCCCGCCCCTTCCACATTTAAAGTACATAATTATCCTTGCATAATATTGGATTGAATATTGTATTAATCAGCCAATTTTCAAGAGATTAACTGTCGTAATACTGAAAAGATTTCTATGGCTTCTTCGTTCATGAGAAGAGGGCTGTTTGATCAGGACATTTTCTTCTTTTGATTACATCTCACCTATATCTTTTCAACAGATCATGATGAAAGGATGGCTATTTATACAACGTCATCATTTATTTGTTTTACATTAACACTATTTTAAAGTATTTTTTCTCTTCTTTTACAAACAGCATATTATTTTGAAGTTAGGTTATGTTTGAGAAATACATGCATTAGCAATCTTAAAAAAATATTAAAGTGAAAACAAACTCTAGTTCAGTGAGATAGTTGACATAAAAGGTCTGTTTTATGTTTGAAAATTGTTGTATTTGAAAATTCCAATCTCAGTAAAAAGAATTAGATGGCAGTTGGTCTGTTTTAATATTCTTGAGAATTGCTTCCAATGGATAAAATTGGTTAATGTAGGGCACATTTCTGTGAAACTTTATGTAGGTGAAATGTGGAGTTATTCTTAAGAATCATCTTTAAGGGAACTAGCAATGTTATAAGCAGTCAGCACTGAAGTTATTACAAAACTATATTCATAACTGGTTTATGATGTTATTGCACCACAAACTGGCTGTGCAAGTTGTGTCTACATTCTAATTAGATGCCATTCTAATATGATATTGGCCAAGTACTAGGTACTATGTAGTAGTTCGTTCTTCCATAAATGCATTTTCATGCTAGACTTCATGGTGGCTAATTTTCTTGATGTAGACACATTTATAAATTTCTTTTTATAGCATCTTTCATGGTTCTAAAAGCTAAACTATATTGGAGGAATTAACTTGGACTATGGCAAACGTTTTTCTGCTTGGGTTCCAAAAGGACCTGCGTGCGCAATAGCGGATGCATGCATGTCCACATATATAATGCAGTGGCCTCCCCCTGGTGCATGCACGCACAAACCCCCCCCCCAGTAGGCCCATTGGGCCATTTTTCACCCTCCCCAGGCTTCAGGAATCCTCTGGAGCCTGTGGAGGGCCCAACGAGCCTGCTGGAAGTTCAGAACATTTGAATTCCATTTTTTTTCCTTTCCAGGCTGGGGGCTTTCCTAAAGCCTGGGGAGGACAAAAACGGCCTCCCTCCGCCCTCCGGAAGGCCGAAAATTAGTTGGCCAGCGTGCACATAGGGCAAAGCCTCGCATGCCTCAGATATAGCTCCACGTGCCACCTATGGAGCCGAGGTGGCGCAGTGGTTAAATGCAGCACTGCAGGCTACTTCAGCTGACTGCAGTTCAGCAGTTCGGCTGATCAAATCTCACCAGCTCAGGGTTGATTCAGCCTTCCATCCTTCCGAGGTGGGTAAAATGAGGACCCGGATTGTTGTTGGGGGCAATATGCTGACTCTGTAAACCGCTTAGAGAGGGCTGAAAGCCCTATGAAGCGGTATATAAGTCTAACTATTGCTATTGCTATTGCTATGGCACACATGCTATAGGTTCGCCATCACGGGACATAAGATTGAAACTATTCTCTCTTAAAATATCTTTCTCTTATACTATAACTCCAAATGTATTTTTAAAAAGCTGAATTGGTGCTGTGTTTCCCATATTCAAAGAACTGAGTACTCTGCATAGACAGAAATGCTAGTTTTAGTTTTAGAACTGAGTCCCGAATAAATACAGTAGCATTCTGAGTTGTTTCTCTGAGCTTCCTCTTTCCCTCTAGTTCAGAGGTGGTGCATCTGAGCTATGTACAGGCTGAAGATACATATTCAGTGCATACTGCAGAAATAATCAAATGGTTTACCAGCAAACCAATATACCTCTGGAGGTTTTAGAATCATAAAATGTAGTATTACTTAAATCAATCCTCGGAATTTTGCTGGTTAACATATAGATTGGGTTACGGAAGGATGACAGACTGTTCTGTTGTTGAGCCACACAACATGATCTTTGAAGCAGCTGCCATTTCCCTAGCAACTGCATTGAATCCTGGCTGTTCGGAAACTGGCAGCTGTTTCTGCTTGTTTCTGTGTTTCTTAGCAATTTTATGACACGTGGATTTCAACTCCCAGAATTCCCCAACCAGCCTTGTTCCTTTGCTTGAATTCTGGGAGTTAAAGTCCTCATATCTTAGCGTTGCAAGGCTCAGAAATGTTGATATAGACAGTATATCAGAATAATAGCAGAATAATAAGGAATGGAACAATATTATGTTGGATTCAGAAAGTATTTTTAGGCCAATGAAGGAGGAGAAAATGGCAGATACATCAGCATCTCTTTGTCAAATCCACAGAAGTACTGATCTAGAGTTAAGGGAGAAAATTAAGTTCTTTATCTTTTGTGTTTTGTCTTTTAACCCCTGTAATTTCCCCATTGCTTTAATACATGTTTGTTTTATTTTAGATATTAACAGAGGATTTCTCTTTTTTTCATGTAGAATTTCGGACTGGATTATGATGCCTTTCAGCACATGGTGGGAGATTGTTCTCCCAACTTTCTCCAGTTAGCCTTCAACTGCTGCAATGTCAGTACACTCAATAATAATAATAACCTCAGTTTATGTTAAATTTAAAAATGCAATGCTGAATGAATTGGGAGATTTTGTAGTTGAGGAATTATGAAGTGTTTTTTAAGGCAAAATATGAATGAATTGTATATATTAGTTTATAACATTTGTTATTTATGTGCAGATTTGGTATAAAAATGGACAAAGAATATAAAGTAAGGATATAAAAAGCTGTCACTATAGTTCTTTATAATATTATATAAGACAAGGTATTATGAAAATGAAACATCTAGTCAAAATTTCTTTAAAACAGAACAGCAATGGTTGATGCAAGGGTGTAGGACCCCGTTGGGTAGAAAGTAGGCTCGAGGGGGGAACGGGAGAGTTAAGTGGGAGGGGGGCATTCTCCGCAATTGGTCATAAAGGCAAATTACTTTTGGGGTGGTGCAATGGCTCTAATTTAGGGATTAGATTGTGAATAGCTTTTTGGGATCAGACATAGCTTCAAATAGTTGCTAAGCAATCGGTCAGAAGTTGAAGACTACTGGTAATATAAAAGCATAGATTTTGTGTTATGTTTTTAATCTATCATTTTTTTCTTATCTTCATAGATGGACCCAAAGTTACGTCCTTCATTTACTGATATTGTCAAAACACTGGAAGAAATTCTGAGCAATTTGAAAAGAGAAGAAGATGAAAGAGAACGGAAACTGGATGCTGCAGATCGAAAACCCATCTCTGTTTGCAAAGGTAGGATCAAGCAATATGGTCATAAAACTGCCCAGCTTGCCAAGCAAATATTAAATATTTTATGTTATAATAAATTGTTTTTTATTTATAAATAGGAAGCATTGTATTTACAATATTCTAACAAAGTCTAATTAAATATAATTGTATATTCAATACGAGTTAATTTACTTGGAAATTAATTGGAAATACAATTTGATGTTCACAGTATATCCAATCTATTCACTTTGTCTTCCTTGAAGAATCAAATTTAGTCCACACACATATTTGTTAGACACATAGTTTCTTAAGTCACTGTGATAGGTTGGAATTTAATTTTGTTGTTGTTGTTCATGTTAACTTGAGTGAGATGCACAAACATTAGTCTAGACTATCTGGACAAGTTGATGTATGGTGTACCCAACTGTGTTGCACAATTGTTTCTGTGCAACTAAAAATTAAGGGTAGAGCAATATAATCACATCAATGTGGTCCTCTAAATGACGCTTAATTTCATCAGTTTTTGTGTATGTCTCTGTATTTTCTTACGGAATTTGTACTGCACCCCAATCCTGAGATTCTGGATGGATCACAAGAATAAGTACAAGACTGAAAGTCATAAAAACAGTTGCTGTACTGTGTGCTGCGCAAGCACACACAAGCACACACAGACATGCAAATAAAAATAGCAACAGAAATACCACCCACTCCCACAAATGCATTAAAAAACTTGACAAAATACTTACATTTTCACCTCCCTTCTAAATATTAACCAAGAGGGTGCATTGTGAACCATGGTAGGCAAAACTAGGCAAAACTGGGCAACCATAGAAAATGCTGGTTTTCTAGTTCTTTCCTCCACAGACCTCATAATGAAAGGCAAGAATCTACAGCATTCCTTCCAACCTCAAATGTATAGGATAAGAAGATTTGGAGAAGATGGCCCAAATCAGATTTCTAAATAGATAGACTCAGAATTTACTGACATTTTCTCATGAAACAGAGGCCTTCTACTTCAGAAGCAATCCAATCTCAGGACTTTTCGCTCTGCCCCCAAAAAAGTTGTCACCTCTTACATTAGGATTAATGGAAATCATGTAAAGGGGACACAATTGGCATGCATGGTATGAAGCTGTGGAATTACAAGTGTCCCAGTTTACCATCCCATCCCCAACAGTGGAAGAACAGCCCCTGAAATCTTGACCAACATTTATTTTGAACAAAAATGGTGAGAAAAATAGCAATGCCATTCCTTCCTGATCTTTTCTCTCCTGGTCTGCTGCCAGTATAACAATGAATATCACATGGATTTTAACAGATAGAATTGCCCTACCTATAGTATGAGGAAATTCTTGTATTAGAACACAATAAAATGATTGTATGAAGAGTAACCGTGGGCTTGGCATGTTTAAAGAGAAAGAGAGTGAAGTTCACTTTGCAATGTTGATGGTTAGTGCTTAGCAACTTCTCTGAGGTATCCATGCTTTATTAATGACAGAATGATGTAGAAGACAACTATGTTGCTAGGTGCGGTTGCCGTTTTTCAAAAGAACTTTTTTGTAGACTTGAACCTTCAATAATGGTCACTGTTATTTTGTCTTGCTTTGACCCCAAAATTCTAACTCTATAGCCAAGAAAAATATTACAAAAGTAATTACTAGCTGTAGCTTTTTATGCTCTGATCATTTCTTATAATGTATAATTTTAGAAAATGTTCAAGGCCTTTTGTGTCTTCTGAGTCCTTGGTAAACGTATGTTGGGGTTTAGTCCAAATTAAGTGCTGTCTTCATAGTTTATTTTGAATTACATATACATCTTGTGGGGTATTTATTATCAGTTGAATTATAGCAAATTTTAAAACAGAAAAAAAAGATAGAGGCTGAATTAATTTATGAAAAATAAAATTTGGACAACTCAAAAGCCAGCTGGTTGATTTTGGGTCAGTCACATTCTCTTAGCCCAATCCACCTCACAGAGTTATTATTGTGAAGAAAATAGGAGGAGAAAGAAGTATTATGTTTGTTCACTGTGTTGAGTTAACTTATAATGTAGGAAAGGCAGGATTAAAACAAAATTCTAAATTATGGCATATACAAGGTTTTTGGGGGAGGGGTGTTTTCCTGCTATGACCACAATATAGACATTTAAGACATTACTTTCATTGAAATGGGAAATTTGAATTAGCTAAGTATAGAATTCCATATCTGAGCCAGTTGAAATCTTGAATTTGTCACTCAGTTCAGTCTTAAGGATAAGATATATAACTGTAGTCCACAAGTGTGTGTCTTTTGCGATCCCAAGAGATGATTAGGCCCATGGTTGGCCCCCCTTTTATTGGAAGGCTTTTTTGAGTTTCAGGAGCAAAACATGTCCCTTAATTTTACATATTGGGCAAAATAGATGTTTAAACATCCATCTCCTTCCTTAGAATTTCTCCCAAAAGCAACTCCATATTTATGAATGCAGCTTTCAATATGCCATGGAAAGCCTGGCATAGTTTTCAGGCCAAAAGATGCATTTACATTTTTTTAACAGGAATCCATATGAGAAAGCCCTTAAACATGAAGAAATCCATGACAACACTGGGTTTTGTACAACAGTTTTTTTAATCAATACCAGATACTTAATTTTAACAGTGATAACATAATACAAATGAAACATACAAACATTAAAATTATCATTGGAGTGCTACTAGAAGCAGTCTGGTGATTCACATCCTTTCATTTCTCCGATTCAGGTAGTCCACATTTAGCAACCATAATTGGGATTGCTAATTTCATCATTAAGCAAAGTGGTCGCTAAATTAAACTGCGACTGTGTTTATTATCTTACTTTACTTTACAGACCTGTGAAGGTCATAAACATAAGGATTGATCATAAAGTTAGATTTTCATCTCTGTTGTAACTGTGAATGGTTACTGTATGCTAAATGAGGACTACCCGTCCCACAAAAAATGATTTTGGCTTTCAGAGAGAAGAATGGAATATGAGTGTCAGGTTTCCAGGAGGTAAAATGGTAATATTCCCACCCTTAAATTATCCAAACTAGAATGCTCCAAAACTGTATCATCAAAATGCTGCCATTTTGATGGCATGATCCTGAGATCCTGTAGGCTATACATGGGTTTTCCATTTTTGTTTTAAAGTATCACTTTAGTATCTGTTCTGCTTAGAAAAAATTAAGCATAAATTCAAGTATCTTAAAAGAAAAGGATTTTTTTTTGCAATGTAGCTAAACACTGCCCATCTGACCGTAATATTTGCAGCTGCTTTGTTTAGTGACTTCTTATTTAAATGTATTTAACAGATTTTCCCCCCAAGCTCAAGTGCTGTGTATCCTAGTTTCTACATTGGACAATGTGCTGTTTCAAGGCTGATGTGGAGTATAACCACTTCCAAAGGGAAGTATTATTGTTTGCCTGCCCTTTTCACAGCATAGGGGTGTCTTTTGCTCCAGGGAAACCTCACTTCTGGAAAAACATGGTCTTTTAATTAAAAGGGGAGTGTCCTCTTTAACTTTCACTCTTTGGAAAACTTTTAGGATACACATATAATTGGAAAATAATATATTTGTTATCATATTAGCTATTTCTAAGTATATTATGCATTTGAGGGATAAAAGACATGTAGAAGAGTATAGAGACAAAATATAACAATATGTGATAGATTGCATTCTCTGTCTATAGAAATGGCTTATACAAAATAGATTGAAAAATCATTTCTAATGATGAAGAGCTCTATGATAATTTGTAAACTTCCCAAGGGTGTACGGTTGTGGAGGATACAAGAATATCACATTTATATTTATTATTTCCACCTATGTGTGTCTATGAGTCCAGATTTGTCACTCAGTAATCTGAAGATTTAAATATGAATTTATTTTTTAGGATTGCTAGAGAGGGGACAAGGTATCAAAAGGCTGAGCTCACTGGATGACAAGATCCCACCTAAATCACCCCGACCACGGCGCAACATCTGGCTATCACGCAGTCAGTCAGACATCTTTTCTCGGAAACCTTCCTGCAAGATAAACGTTCAGGATCCATATTATACACCAAGCAAAGGAGCAAGTCGGAAAGTCAACCCTTTCAATTCTAGGGAAGACTTGAAAGGGGGGAAAATAAAATTTTTTGACTTGCCTAGCAAATCCGTGATATCGCTTGTATTCGATCTGCACTCTCCAGAAGTAAGAGGATGTCAAAAGATGAGCCAGCCGCTTTTCAAGCACAGCTATGCCTATGATTGGCAAGACTCTTCTTTCCTTCCTGGGAGGAGAAGCAGATCACTTCCAGTTTCTCCTGAATTTGTTCATAAAGATTATAATACATTTGGAGATCTCTTTTCAACGGTCAGTAGCTGTGATCCCACCCAGCTAGGGGCTGAAGTGCGCCAGAGGCTGTTGTGCAGTAGTAAGTATGGTGTATCTGAGATCCCTCCTTTTCAGGTTAAACAACGTAGGCAGGACTTGCATCCTCCACTTCTGCAAGAGGAGGAAATGGATTGTTCTGATGAACTGGAGCCTCTGAACAAAAATGGGTATCCTGTAAAATGTTCAGCTGAAGAGGCAGAACTTGGAAAGTCTGAGGGACAAGTGCTGCAAGACACATCTGGCCAAATGGCTAATGTCTTAGTACACAATTTAGACTGCTCAGAAAATCAATTCCCAGAAATGTTCATGATCTGTACCACCTCTGAAGAAATGGAGGTGGAAGATGAAACTCAAAGGAATATGCCTTCCACTAAATTGGAGTCTTCTAAACGGTTGCTCAGTATTAATCTTTCCTCACAGCAAGGCAGAGACTCCACTTTCCTTGAAGTGGTGGATAGCGACACTTCAAATGTTTCTCTGCTGCCTTCAGACACACCAGCATCAATAAGTGGACAGCCGAAATGTGACATTTAAAAGCCAACCATTGGATGATTATGGTGATGATGATACACTCCTATTAACTACTCTGGTTTTAACTTCCTGTGTCAAATGTCTCTAAAGCAGTGTAGCAATGTAACCAATTCATTTGAAAATTCTAAAATGTATTATGAGAGATTGTATGCATGCAAGGATGTATGAAAGGAGTTCTCGGCATATCTCAGGAAGAAGCTAATATAGGAATAAGGTTTACTGTTGAATGCCTGATTTATGCAGAATCACAGTTATAGAGATAGTGGGATTATTGGCATCTCTGCGTTTCTATTTGTGTTATTCATACTGTTTAGGTTCTGTTAAATGTTTTTAAGAACTTAGTATCTCCCCGAACCTTCAAAATCTTTGTCTCATTAGCAGTAAAATGCCAAGCAGCAATAAATATTTATATGGAATATATTTAAAATAACAAGTACACTGGGGGGGGGGTGCAGATTGTCCTAAACCAGTCTTAATTATCCTGGCCAACCTTCAAAGTATGAATTTTAAATCCCAGTATTTTGAACAATGTTGGAAAATTCTGGGAATTGAAGTTTATACTTTTGGAGGTTGCTTAAACTTAAGACAGTTGATTTAGACCTTACTGGACTACAACCACAACTATTCTGTCCATTAACAAGGGCTAATGTGTTGAAGTCCGTTATTACCACAGGTTACCCAAAGACTTGTACAAGATTTTCTGTCATGGGAGTTTCAGTTTCAAAAAAACAGCTACTTTGGAAGAAGCTCAATGTATCAAACCATTTCTACAATATTCAAAAAAATCTTGGTCTATGATTGGGAGAAATCGTTTTTGGATTGGTTCATTTCCAGAATATCCTATTTTGGATCAAAATGTTCCAAAATAGAATGTTTTGCATGTACTTCCTCACTCTTGCTTTAATTGAACAGGAAGAATATGGCTCCGAATTCTCTAAACGTTATTAAATAAGATGAGATTTGGCTACAATAGCTCCCTTACCTTTTCCAGTCCAAACAGTGGAGGCATTGAGCATATTCCTACTTCAGGCATTCCTTATTAGTTGCTTGTCCAGTTTTTATTTTCTGGAAAGGAAATTTTCCATCAGCTGTTTTACTGAAGGAACAACAGAGTTCCATTTCTGAATAAATTGTTCATAAAACAAAATGAAATGAATATTTTCATGTCTTCAGTAACCTCATTCCCTTTATTATAGAAGCATGAAATGTATTACCATCCAATGTTTGGCATGGAAGAACTCTCTTCAACATATTTTTAAAATCCAGTTTTGCATGCATGTCTTCAATTAGTGTACGTGCTTCATTCACACAGAAACATGGTCTATGTGTGCAATTTATATAAATTATGTAGATAGGTTGCTTGACATTTCTCAAATGGAAAGTGAATTTTAAAGTGAAGCTATAGAAATAGCATCTCTATATTAAAGTCTCTCTGCACATCCAGACCAGCATAACATGCTCAGAATTTAAAAGGAATTAATACAGATTATATAAAAAGGATTAAAATCCCAAATCTTGCCTCTAGTTAGAATACATTTGAAATTAGTTCTGGTGAACATAGATTTCCTCATATTCAGTTCTCATAACTAAGCTCTAGAAAGGGCAAATCGTCACAAAATATAAAGCAATAAAAGCAGAGTCACAAATATTAGCAGACTGGGTTTGCAAGCTATGTTTATTTATAGACATTCATGATAGCCTCAAGTTTCTTCCAGCAGCTGGAGAACAAAATTGTCTTCTCAATTATTCATTTGAAAATTTCTAAAGTAGCACCACATTCCAGTTTAGTTATTTCCTCTTTCAGGATTAGTGATAAAGAATCCCAGTAATTATTATCAGGCTGCTTTATTTAAACAGTTAAAAAATATAACCACTTAAACAGGTTTTGAATTTGGTAGCATTTTCTTCCACCCCATCCAAAGCAAAATAATTCATGAATGTAACTTATGCTCAGCTCTGGAAAGCACAAAGCATGCCATGTATCTCAGAGGCCATTTTACTTCCAGAAAGTATTCCATTTCTTTGCCTGCATTAATTTATAACTTCCTCTGCAGATTGTAGCCTTTCAGTCTCTCACTTTTACTGCTTGTGAAAGCTAGATGTGACAAATTACTTCTGTTTTGGTCACATCCCCTCCCTCCCCCTTGTGTATTTTCCTGGTTTTTTACAGACTCTAAGAAGTGGTACTTACTCTTGCAAGTGGGATGATGGATTCCTACTGCAGTTGCTCTGCCTTCTTAATAGAGTGTTAATGATAACCTAGGTCCTTGATACAAAAGCAAGTCTTTCTAAACTGCAATTTGATAAAAGTTGGCTTCATCGGAGCTTGAGAAAACAATAACTACAGCTATTGGATGGTTAAACATAAAGGTAACCTGTCCTTTTCTATAATATGTAAACACTGTTATTATCACATCCTATGGAAAGCCAGCATTGCAGAGCAGCTATGGGCCATCATCTATACTCTATACAGAATGTGGCCAAATGAATGCATAATTTATACAAACACAATGATACTAGATCGTTTTGCTTTTCAGCATATTTGATTTGCTAACAAAGATGCCTATTGCTTTTGATAAGCCACCTGAAAACACTTCTAAGATCCTCAGTCTATTTTTAATTAATTTTGTCTAAATTACATTTAATAAGCATATTAGAGGATATTCATGTGGCCAAATGATGAAAGACTGTGAATACATGTATGTAACAAATTGATATCTGACTAGAAAAAAAAGTGTACGATGGATTCTTGGTTGCTGCATCTTGTCCAAGAACACTGGTATTTCTTGCCAGTTTAACTAGACACTTGAATAATTCCTCTTTGCACTTAATGCTGTTGTTTATACTGCATGTCACTACATTTCTATGCAAAAATAACCTTTGAGGTAGCCAAATATTTGATTTAAGGTTTATAGATCTTTATAAGATCTATTTTCATATTTATGAAGGAATTTTATGTCTTAATATTTGCTGTCTGTAAATAGCTAAATTTTGTCATTAAAGCTTAGGAAAAAATTGATAGCATGTGTATATAATTTAACACTGCCAGGAAAAGGATTTTTGAAAAAGCATTTTTCTAATACTTCAGATATTTATGAATGTTTAAAGAAAACAAATCTTGATTTGTATGTGTTGATTCATGTCTGATTTCCCTCCACCCTAGAATTGCATAAACAGTATGTTTCACTGGAACTGAAAAAAGGAACCAAAGATAAATGTAGTTTAAAATATCTGCAAGTTTTCTTTGTCAGTTTTTGTAAACCATTCCCCAGTTCACTGTCAGAAGAAAATGAGATATGTGGTTGAGAAGACAAAATTGATGACGCAAAGGAGCAATATAAAATGGGAAACATTCATTCTGACTTAATATTCACACATTCCAGTATTTTGTAAAAGTGATATCGTTTTTTCTGTTAAAGTAGATTCCAGAAGAGCTTGTCTCTCTCCAGAAATAATTCCTTATTGTGTTTTCCCTTGTTTCAGATTTCCAATTTTGTATTCACCAGCAATTAATGATGGTGGTAGATTATCTGAACATTTGTTTCCAGACAAGACACATCATATTTCATAGTGTGTAAGCTGCAGTTACCTTATATTAAAAAACTAGTAACTGAAGCCAATGTCATGTTGGTAAGTTAAATGCTTTCATATAAACAAGTAACAAAACATGGGACAATTGTCCTGTTGAGGTATTTGCATTTGTGAATTCCTTTACAATACAGATCAATGCTCTATTAATTTGCTTATTTCTACTTTCCAAGTTATCTATCCATCTTGAAGTTTTCAAGTTACCGTAATTGCATTTGCCAAGGACAGAATTACCAGTCAACTTCACTAAATGATTCAAGGTTCTATTTTGAGCAAAAATTTCTCCCTACTCTTTAAGTTATTTGTCATACTTAACTGCCCAGCTCCTTCACAGAGGGACTCTGGGCAGTGTACAATAAATCTACTCACTACTTTTAACCTACCACCCCATTTCTATACCTCCTTAAAGGAAAAAAAAGTGAAAAGATCTAAATGCTTTCATTTTCCTTATACCAAAAACAGTTGTTGATTGTTTGGGGTTGCTTTTTCTTATCTTTCGATTTCACATTTAACAGTTATCCTTCAAATATGAAATATGTTTGCAATACAGATGAATACAAAATTATCGTTTCATTCAATTCCTTTTAAAGTTTTTCCTAGAATAAAATATGTATTAATATTTATATAAAATGTGGGTACTATTGCTGCATCACTTTACATTGATTTCAATTTTTGTCATTTTGCTGTCCATTCCCACATGCCAATAACATCTGGCTAGAGCTATCCAGTTAGCTTCAGCTTTCTTTTCCCTAACTTGATATTAATGACAAGCTTTAGCTACTTCATTGCTCTCCCCAGCATCAATTTTTAAAAAGTTGAACATTATTGACCCCACTAAAGTTGTTATCAATTAATGCTTTCCAACCAATGTATCTGGAATAGATAAGTCTAATAAAAAAAATCATTTTTTAGCTTCCAAGAGATCTCATTACTGTTTTGTTGTGTGTAACTAGAATACAAACTTTGATTATCTGTATTGCAAAAAAGACTTGCAACAATAAATTAACAGATAAAAATCCTCCAGTCTGTCAAATACTTTGATACAAAAACTAAACATTATTTAATAAGGGAAAATCCAATATTTTATTTCAACAAAATATTAATAATGGCAGAGAATAACAAGATATCCCTTTAAATTATTATACTAGAATGGGATGGGGGGCCTATGGCCCCCAGATGTTTTTTTCCAAACAGTTTAGCTTAATTTGCATTAGGAAAATAAGACTGCAATAGAACTGGGGGTGGTGGTGTGGTCAAACAATTTGGCTTTAATTCCTTTTCCTTAACTTTTTGTTACCCCATCTGAAGGATTTAAAATAACTAAACAAGCAGTACAATATAAATCACATTTAAGGACAATCTAGAGGGCATGATTCGAAAAGGATATCCTGAAAGAGGAGAGACAACAAGCTGTTTGCTAATCACAAACTGTAATACAAGAAAATCAGTTATCTTATGTTATGGTAGGCCAGATTCAGGTAGCTTTCTGAAGCCTTGAGAACTTGTATTGGATTTAGATGGCTACAATTTCCCTTTTGGGCTGCTATAAATATAGATGAATTTATATTTGGTACCCAACATTTGCATTCTCATTGCTCAAAACAAAAGTCCCACAAAATTTCAGAAAGTTTGATTAGAGATTTCAGGTATGCATTCCATAGATTTTAGACAAACTCAGATATGTTGAAAAGAAAACTCTTATCTCATTCTTGTCGGTAAAGAATACAATTCAATTAAGTGTTGGTGGGGAGCTTTCAGTGCAAATTTTCAAATACGTGTGGAAAGTATTTTAATGCATGGTTTAGTCCACATTCTACTATTAGTAAAAGACAAGCTTGTCTCCTGTGTTAGTCTAAAAAGCCAAATGATTCCTTATAATGGTGATTTACTAGCCATTTGTAAAACATGAAAATATTTTTGGTAAGAGTTTGGGGCTTAAATCTTCAAATGTAATAAAGAATGAGTTAAGCAAGAACTGAAATAATAACTGCTCCGAAGTATTCACAAGGTTTTAAAAGGTGGGTAATGCATCTTAATGCAAAAAGGGTTTTAAAAGGTGGATAATGCTCTTCTTACCTATTCTGGGCAGATTCTACAAGCTGGCATATCTGAAAAGCAGCTAATGCTGTTTTAGGCATTTGCTTAAAAACAAGTGCTAGTCTATAAATCAGAAAGCCTAATAAAGCAGGGATCTAGATTGCGTGGAAAGCTGTAATGATTTCACAACATCTGCTGAAGACATAGACGTTAAAGAGCAATGAATAGAGCCAAGTACCTGACTTTATGAACATTAGGATGATGGTGCAAGCTAATCCATGTAAAAAAGCTTTTCCGTAGTTCCCTTGGTTAAAAATAAAGCATTACTCTGAATGATTAAGACATATGATTTTGGGGGAAAATTTTCAAGGCTACTTGAAACCAGCTGTCTTCTCATAAATGCATTGCCATTCCCCAAGAGGCATTGTGTGAGCATGAACACACAAACAAAGCCTTGTAAAAGAAAGTGCTGTCTTAAGCATTTGAAAAAAAATGCTTCATCTACAGTGTAAAGGTTCTATCCCCAATGGGAAAATTTAATACATAATTTTACAAACATTTAAAAATAAATCCATAATCCATTCAGGCTGCTGCACATATTATATTACGTCTTTTTAATGTCTCTCTAGCAGCTCTGATTTGAGTATTGCGGCTTCAAGAAAACAGTTTATAGCAATAGCATTTATCTGTGATCCTGAGCTGTATGGTATTTACTTCTAACTACTGTCCCATACCAATTTCATCTTTTGGTTGTGGGCTTTGGAAGATTTAGAAAACAAACTTTTCACAATCTGGAGAGGCACAGACTTTCCACTAAGGTACAATTTGTTGTGGCACTCTGGTAACCAAGGCCCGTTATTTGAGTCGCTCTGTTTATTGAGCATTTGGATGTATGCTATTATGTAGCCTGTCATGAAGGCATCAAAGCCAGCCCGGTGAATACTCCCTTGTGAACAATTAGATGGTGCTACGTTACGTGTGACAGGCAAAGAGGTCACTGCAGAATCATTCTGTAACTGGGCTTTTGGCTCTGGGCCTTCGCTTCCTATTGCCTTTTCCTGCTGGAAATATTTGACTGATGAAGAAATTATACTCTCATTGTCTGTAGTACTGGCAGCATCGTTGGAAACTAGTTCTTGTTCCACATCCATTGAAGTCTCCCCATTACCAGACACACTTTCTGCATCTGCACTATCTACAATAGGAGCAATCAAGTTACTAGGGCACGACTGTTTGGAAGGGGAACCTTTTTCCTTATCCCAAGCCAACTTCACATCATTCAGTTCAATTTTTGTTGACTCTGCTAAGTTCTTCCGCCGTTTCCATTTTTGTTTTCTTGTCTTCCGCTTCTCCTCTTTCTGATTCTCATCCTCGTTAATTATTAGATCGATATTGTGAGATTGTGTACAGTTCAACCCATCTGGGCACCAGCCATAAGCCTGTGAAGGAGAATGAGAACTATTAGGATAGATTTTTAAAAATTCTGAGAATTTTGCAATGATTGGAATCCAGTCAACCTTTCCTCCTAGACAGCAGTACTAGGCATAATCACTT